AGATTGTGGAGCAGATTTGGGGAATATTTTGGATTTGCGGGGCAGATTTGGGAAGATTTTGGGTAAGCTTGGGGAGGATTTGGGGGATATTTTGGGGCATTTTTTGGGGAATTTTAGGGAGACTTTTGGGAGAATCTTGGAAAGAATTTTGGAGGATTTTCAGGCAATTTGGAGAGGATTTGGGAGGGATTTCGGGGGGAGTTTATGGAGGGGATTTTGGTGGGAATTTTGGGGAGGGTTTCAAGGTGATTTTTCCCCTCCCCCATCCTCAGATCTTTCAGTCTCCTCCCAAAATTCGGAGCAGCCCGAAATCGTGGGAGCCTCGGAGCCGAGTGAAGGTGGTGGAAGGGCAGCACCCCCAAATTCTGAAGGGAGGGGGGAGGGCCCCGAATTTGGGGTTGGGAATTTAAAAAGGGGGGGGAGGGACCCTAATTTGGGTCTGGGGGTGCTGACGGCCCCTCCTCTTCCAGACCCCGCCCTGCTCAGCGCCGCCAACGCCCCCCCCAAGGAGGGGGAGGGGCAGGACAAGGAGGAGGAGGAGGAGGGGGAGGAGGAAGAGGGGGTCACCCCCACGCCCCTCCCCCCTCTTCTGGACGCCCCCTCCCCCCGCCAGCGCCACATCTGCTCCAGCTCCTAAACCCCTCCCCCAAACTTTGGGGGATCTCAATAAAGGCTTGATCCCTCCCCCACATCCCCAAAAGTGAGTTTGGTTCCGTTTGGGGAGGGGGAGAGAGGAATTGAGGGATAGGAGTGAAACGAGATCCCCCAAAATCCTCCTCAAATCCCTCCAGGACCCCCTAAATTCCCCAAATTCCAAAATCCTCCTACTTCCTCTCTAGAACCCCCAATCCCCTTTCAATCCCCCCAAAATCCCCCACCCGCAATCAACCCAAGGAAAATCTGGTCCCAGATTGAGAATTTTGGGGTCCCTTTCGGGCGATTTTGGGCTTGGTCGCGCTCCCGAAGCGTTTTGTCCCCTCGCGGCCGCCGTCCCCACGTGACCCCACCACGTGACACGACGCCTGGTGCCGCCATGATGGCGGCGAGCAGCGGGGCCGAGCCCGGCCGCGCCTTGGAGGCGCTGCTGGAGATGGGATTCAGTGCCCGGCGCGCGTGAGGGCGGCGACACCGCGGGGACACCCGGGGGGGCACCAGGGGAGGGAAGGGGGCACTGCCGGGGCTGTCCGATAACGGGAGAGGGTGCGGGAATGAGATTTTGGGGATGTTTGGGTTGTCCCGGGATTTTGGGAGGTCCCGGGAACGGCCTCGGACGCCCCCCATGACCCCACCCCGGTCCCGCAGGGCAAAGGCGCTGGCGCTGACCGGGAACCGCGGAGTTGAACCGGCCATGGACTGGTGAGGGCGGGGACCCCAAAACCCCCAAATTCTCCCGGGACTCCCCCAAATCCTGCCCTGATTTTCGGGACCCCCCGTGTCCCCCCTGCCTCGCAGGCTGGTGGCTCACGAGGATGACCCCGACTCGGACTCGGACCTCGAAATCCCCCCGGATTTGGGGGCGCTCACCTCGATCCTGGGGGCGCCCCGGCAGCCGCCGGCGGAGGAGGACGAGACCCAGAAGTGAAGTTTGGAGGGCTTGGGGGGACGGGGGCGAAATTTGTGGGGTCAAGGGGGAATTCAGGGTGGAATTTTGGCGTTCGAAGGGAGATTTAGGGGTTCGGGAGGAATTTTGGGGGTGTCAAGGTGGGAATTGGGAGGTTCAGTGGAGAATTTCTGGGTTTCAGAGAGGGATTTTTCTCAAGGATTTCGGGTTTCAGGAGAGGTTTGGGAAATTCCTCCGGGACTTGGGGTTTCAGGGGGAATTCAGGAGTTTCAAGGCGGGATTTTGGGGTGTTGTCCCCGAATTCCGGGGTCCCCCAGGCTGCTGACGGAGGCGGGGCAGGAGCGGGAGCGGCGGCGCCGGGGACAGGAGCTGGCCAAGCTCCGGGAATGGCGGCGGGACGAGGAGCGGCGCCGGGCGGCCGAGGAGCGGCGGCGGGACCGGGCCGAGGAGCGCGCGGCTCGGTGAGGGTACAGCCCGAAATTCCAAAAAAAAACCCAAAAACCCAAACCTAAAACTTCTGGGGAAATCCCAAGATTTTCCCCCCGATAAACCCCTTGCGGAGCTGCCCGTGCTGAGTCCTCCGAGCCGCCAGGGGGCGTCACAATGGCGGGAGGTGCCCTCACAAACAATGGCGGGAGGTGCCCTCACAAACAATGGCGGGACCAAGGAGAATTTGGGATCCAAAAGCCCCTAAAGACCTCCTCGAATTTTAGAGCCCCCCCCCCAAATTCCCACCCTTCAACCTTGGGGGACCATCCCGAAGCCCCCAAACTTCAGGGTGCAGCCCTAAAACTTCGGGGGTTTCTCCACATCCCCACCTCCCTCCCTCAGATTACCACAGCCCCTCAAATTTTTAGGGATCCTTAAATTTTCGGGAAACCTCCAAAAATGTCGGGATTCCTCCTCATTCCCATAGGCAGAGAGTGCGGGAGAAGATCGAGCGGGACAAGGCGGAGCGAGCACAGAGGGTGAGTGAGATCCCAAAGGATTGGGGGAATCCCAAAGGATTGGTGGGGGATCCCAAAGGATCTGGGGGGGAGAATCCCATGGGATAGCAGGACCCTGCTGGGATCCTCCAAATCCCCTTTTCCCCTCCCCAGTTCGCCCCAGTCCCCACGAGCCCAGCCCCAGAGACCCCCCAGGAGCCTCCAGCACCACGGGAATACGACCAGTGCCGGATCCAGGTAAGGACGTGGGCGATCCCCAGGATTCTGGGGGATCCCGAGGGGATCCCGAGGCACCCCTGACCCCCCCTGCTCCCGGCCCCAGGTGCGGCTCCCGGACGGGCGGGCGCTGACCCAGAGCTTCCGTGCGCGGGAGCCGCTGGCGGCCGTGCGGCTCTTTGTGGAGCTGCACCGGGACACTGGGAGCACTGGGAGCGGCACTGGGAGCACCCCCGAGCCCTTCAGCCTCCGCACGGCCTTTCCTCGGCGCCTCTTCACCGAGGAGGACATGGAGAAACCGCTGCAGGAGCTGGGTCAGTGCCCTGGGGGGAATTGGAGGAGTTTGGTGTGGGTTCAGGGGTTCTCTGAGGGGATATTGGGGGAATGTGGGGAGTTCGGGGTGGGTTCAGGGAGTTCCAGAGGAGGTTTGGAGGTTCCTCAGCAGGATTTGGGGGTCCCAGGAATGGCTTGGGGGGGTCTTTGGATAAGTTTGAGGGTCCCCTGCTGGATTTAGGAAGAATTTTGAGGAGTCCCCAATGAGATTTGGGGGACCCTCAGGGATTTTTTGGGGGTTCAGGAGGGATGTTAATATTGAGATAATATTCTCCCAGAGAATTTGGGAGGGGGATCGGGGGCGGTTCTGAAGCAATTTGGGGTCTCCAGGCGGGAGATTTTGTGGGGAATTTTAGGACTTCGGGGGATTTTAGGGGGGTCCTACCATTTGCTCTCCCCCTTTTAGGACTGGTTCCCTCCGCCGTCGTCATCGTGGCCAAAAAAGAGGGGAGCTGAGGGGGGGCACCCTCAAACCTCCCCAAAAATCCCAAATAAACCCCCCAAAACCCCAACTAAACTTGAGCTTTGTCTTGTCTCGTGGCCCCCTCCCCAAAAAGCAGATTTTTGGGGGGGAGGGTCCCACAGCGCCTTTATTGGTGTCCCCTCGTCATTGATCCCTGCGGTTCCACCTTCCTACGGGGTCGGCGAGGATGACGATGCCCCAGGCCCCCAAACCTGCGGGGACACCAGGGTCACCTGGGGACCCTCCTGGCCCCGGACTCCCACCCTAAACCCGCTCGTGTCCACGGGATCCCCGAATCCTCCCCATCCCGAACCCCTGGGGGATTTGGGGGCAATCTGAGGGAATTTGGAAAGGAATTTGAGGAGACTGAGGGAGGGATTTGGAGGAAATTCTGGGGAGATTTTGGGGATACCCCAGGGCCACTCTCACCCTCTCCCCACCTCGGTACCATGGAAACACCCACATTTTTAGTGCCAAAAATGAAACCCTCCCCTTCCCCCGTTCCGCGATCCCTCCCTGGTATCCCCCGCCCCTCACCGGCGGCGAAGGTGATCTGGGCGATGGCGCCCATGGAGGGGGGGATGCCCTTTCTCATGACGCTCCGCGGGCCCTGGTACACCCAGATGGCGGCCATCAGCAGCCCCGCACCGCTCAGCAAGCGGCAGCTCCAGCAGCCGCCGAACAGCGGCCGCGGCGAGGCCGAACCGGGGTCGGCCACCCGCACCTCGCCCGGTGCGGCCTCCGCGCCGTGCGGCGACATGGTGGCACCGGAAGAGACGCCGGAAATGTCCGTGGTTTATAAAAGCCCGTTGGTATTCGCGCGAAAGAGTTCCGCCCAGCGCTGATAGTTCCGGGTGGAAGGACGGGTCACCGGGAAACGGTGGGTGAGGGTCTCCCGGTGGTCTCTCGATGCTGACGTCACTTCCGCCAGGGCACCTGCCGCTGCGCTACGTTGTCTTCAGTCTGGGCCGCCTCGCGCAGCGCCATCATGATCAGCTCATTGTGGCGCCGCCGCTGCGCCAAACTTGTGGGGTCTCCCCCGGGCTGCGCCTGCCGAACCGGGAAAACGGAAGGGTCACAGCCGGTTCTGCTCACTGAGGAGTCGCGGCCGCCCCTTTCTCCCCGTACCTTCAGCGTCTGCTGCCGCTCCTTCTCGCCTCCCGCTATCGCCACCCACAGCAGCAGCCCCAGAGCGACCGGGACAGATCCGCGGAAAAGTGCCAGCGGCCATCGCGGATCCCACGCCATCACCCCGACCTCCCCGCCACTTCCGGGACCGCTCTGGCCCGCGGGGAATAATAGAGAAGGGGGCCGGGAGGACCGGAAGGCGCCCCCGCCAGCC